CTTGAATTTGAATAAATCATTAACTGATCTCTTGCATAGTAGCTCCATATAGCGTTTCCGTTTAAATAATTTTTTGCTAGCTCTTGTATGCTGGTTGATATACCAATTATTCTCTTATTGGCATAAAAACTGGGTATCTCGCTTTTTTGTATCTCTGGTTGCTATTCGATATTTTCTGGTATTATTATATCTTTTGTTAGTCCTATCTTTACCACTTGTATCGGAGGTTTTATTTCTTCGTATAATATCTCTACTGTTGCCGTATAAAATTTTACATAGAATAAATTTCCCTTAGTAACTCTCTTATATGTAATAAATGTTTTATGTAGTTTCGGTATTCCACTTAGTTCCTCTCCGTCATAAGTATATACTGTATTTAATAGTCCATAGTTGTAACATATCCTAATACGTTTTTGTACTATATGTGTTTGCATTTTTATTCCATTTTTATGTATTTGTATTCCTAAGAATTCTATTTGATTTTTCATTATGTCTGCTTTCTTTTTACTTAGACTTATGCCTGAACATTCTATAATATGTATGAATTTTTCTAATAATCTTATATGTTCATCTTGTGTTTTGGAGTATAATAATATATCATCAATATATACTACACGATTTTCTAATTGTTTAAAATAGTTATCCATAAAGTGTTGATAGATACACCCATAGAAATATACTTAGCGGATGACAGAATCATACAACCCATAGAAAAAAGTATAATAAGTGCAGTAAAAAGGTAACCTCATATACCAAAAATTTAAATTTATAATAAGTGTTAACTACTCAGTAGCAATAAATGACAGGAACATAGATAAATCACTAGTATTATATTGGAAAATGTCAGGAATAGAACTAGCCCCGGGAAGTAAAATATTTACAGCTAGATGTAAAAACTTATATGTTCTAACAATAAAACATAAAATAACAGGAAAAAATAAAATAACTAAAATAAAAATAGAAAATCCTTTTGAAAGAACAGTCACAGTCATAGATAATAATGATTATAGTTATAATGAAATTGA